TTACTGGTTTCCAAAGTGGTACCATTTTACATTTCCACCAGCAATGTCTGAGTGTCCTGGTTACTTCACATCCTCAGCAGTACATGGTATGGTCAGTCTTTAATTGTAGACATTCTAACAGCTGTGTACAAGTATCTCATTATACTTTTGATTGACATTTCCCTGGTGACTGGTGACATTGAGCATCTTTTCACGTGCTTACTTGCCATCCACATATTTTCTCTGGTGAAGTGTCTGTTCAAATCTTTTGCACATTTTAAAAATTAAGTTGTTTTCTTATTAAATTTTGAGATATCTTTATGTCCTCTAGAGACAAGTCCTGGTCAGATATGTGATATATAAGTATTATCTCCCAATCTCTGGCCTATATTTTCTTCTCTTAACAGAGTCTTTTGAACAAGGAAAGTTCTTAATTATGATGGAGTCCAATTTACCAGTTTTTTTTCTTTTAGGGATTGTGTTGTGTGCCTAACCCAAGGTCACAAGAATTTTCTCTTATGTCTTCTTCTAGAAATTTTATAATTTTACATTTTATGTTTAAGTCTATGATCTATTTTTAATTAATTTCTGGATATGATGTAAGGCATGGATTGAAGCTTTGTTGTTTGCTTGTTTGCGTATGGATATCCAAGTGTTCCAGCACTGTTTGTCAGGGCTTAAGAAACTGCCTCATGACAGCCACACAGGGGACTTAGGGAGGCAAGTGGGCTATAACCTTAATGCAGCTCCTTACAGGCTTCCCATCCAGGGGAATAACAGGATTTTCCACCAAGATTTAGATTCAGCAGTGGTTCAGACTTTGGCTTTCTTGGCCTACATGGATACATACAAGGTCACCAGGGTGCCGTGGCAGAACTGTGCCCCTACAGTATCTCTATTCTTCTCTATTTTAACACCAATACCATATTGTCTTGGATACTGTAACTTTATAGTGAATCCCCAAGTCAGTTAGTATAAGTTCTCAACGATCGTTCTTTTTCAAAGTTGTTTTGGCTATTCTAGCTCCTTAGCATTTCCATATGAATTTTAGATTCACTTTATCAATTTCTACAAAATAGTCTGCTGGGTTTTGACTCAGGTTGCCATGAATCTGTAAATCAATGTGGGGAGAATGGACATCATAAAAATACTGAGGCTTCCAACCCATGAGCACAATACACCCCTCCATTTATTTAGGTCTTCTTTAATTTCTCTCAGCTGTGTTTTACAGTCAGAGTGCAGAGCTTGCACATATTTTGTAAGATTTGTCCCTAATTATTTCATTTTTTGATCCTATTGTAAATGGTATTTTTATCTCAATTTCTGATTGTGTGTAGTTACTATGTAAAATTGGTAATTTATTTTTTATATTGATCTTATATCCTATAACCTTACTAAACTCATTAACTGTTCCAGCAGATCTTGTAAATTCCATGGGATTTCTATGTAAGCAATCACATCATCTGCGAATAAACATAATTTTACTTATGCCTTTTACTAGATGCCTTTCATTACTTTTTCTTGTTTTATTGTATTGGCTAGAACCTCCAGTGCAATACTAAAGTGGTGATATTAGAGGAAAGCATTAAGCCCTTCACCATTAAGTATATTAGAAGTAGGGTTTTTGTAGGTTTTCTTTTTCAGAGATAGAGAGCTCACTTT